TCCCATTCGCGAAACCAGAACTGGTGAACCGTTCCAAGTTTCTAGAAACGTGAACTGCTGAACCGTTCCTCGGTTTTAGACACGTCAACTGCTGAACCGTTCCTAGTTCAGAACGGAAACTGAAAAGAAGTTCCCGTTTATTGAACGGCAGCTGAAAAACAGTCCCCGTTATCGAGAAACTGCAGTACAAGGAACTATGAACTGTCACAGACCTAGTCCACACTGTAGCAGTCCAAATTGGAGTAGTCCACCTGTAAGCAGTTCTATGTTGACGAAAGTTTGCGATGGGATGTGACGTTAGTTGTAGGTATGTTACGTAGTTGGTTACGAGTTCGGTCACCACCCTTATGATCAAAGTGTGGGGTTGTACTCCCCCATATACTTTCGTCACGTATGGCAAAAGTCCTTTTTTCTATATGACGTAAATTAACGTAACGAAAGTGTTATTACTCGAAAAATAATTGTTAACTTACGTGTGTGCTGCAATGTATTGGTTAAAAATTGAATTAATTCCATTGGTTCATGACGATTTTGAAATTGATTAAAACATACCATATGATTAATTAGACAACACATTTCTAATATTGTATCATCTCGTAGTTGAGAGATGAGTAATTGATTATTATTTTCATTCCATCGATTATTTATTGTAGATATTATACTAGAATTGAATATATGAATTAAATCAATATACAGTGGTTGTAATTTTCTTTGCCATAGTTGATTATTTAAACAATATGGATTTAATAAACGTTTTAGATAATGAATATATTTTTCTTCTAAAAATGTATATTTTAATTTTTGAAAATTTATTTGAATAATTTTATAAATTAATAAAATAATATATGGATCATTTAAAATATATTGTTGATTTTGTAAAATAAATGATAATAATTTAAGATGAATACGTGCTGATAATTGACCTTGTACACTTAATATAAATGAATTAAAAAGTAATGTTTTCTTTCTGTTATCTGTATGATCATTGATTCGAAAATTATTCACAATAGACTCCCATATGGTGAGAGGATAATTAATAAGAACAAATGGATTTAATGGTAGAGGAATAGATGTCGAATTAATAGTAATATTATGTTGAAGTTCCATATCAAATAGGTGTGATGTATTATCACCTAATAAATGATAGAATATTTTTCGATGACTGATGATACTTCCATTATTGATTGAACAATTATTAACAAATATTGTACGATTTGTCATAGTTAATATTGGATGATCATTACTATTTATCCAATTATTGTAATAGTCTTGTGCTCGAATGTTGGAATGCATTGGAATATCATTAATAAATAGTGTTTCAAATGTTGAACTATTAACAATCGAAAAATTATGTAAACGTAATAATTGTTGAATTTTTAATTGAAATAATGTATTCCCATATAAATGACGTAATTCAGTGAAGAATGCACTGCCCTTTTCATAGGGAATATTTTTAAAACTAAAATTGACTATTATAAATAAATATTTTTTATAATAATTTAAAGTTTACCTACCTATCCATAGTTAATAATTCTATTTTGTTAAGTTTTAATGAGTGTGTAGATGAACATAATGAATCAGCTAGAATACCATTGAGATATTGATCTAAATGTTCATATTCAACATTTATTAATAATTTATTTATTAAATATGAACTAATTGATTGTGTTAAACTTTCAATAATCCATATATTTTCTTTTTCAAATGAAATTAAATGACCAATCCAATGATGAATCAATTTATGAATAATTAATTCTCGATTATGAATAAAATTTATAATAGATTGATTTATATTTGAATTTGTTATTAAATAATTTTGATCAAATAAAATTAATCCCGGTTGATCTAATACTATGGAATTAAATTCGGGTAATGTAATTATATCAAGTTTAACCATTGGAAATGATCGTTCAAAATAAGATGTTAAGATTGAAATTGATATCATAGTAAAATTTAATAAAGATTGAATTAGATCAAATTCAATAATAGTAAATGGTACACATAGTTGAATAATTAAATTATTTTGTACAATATGTTTACATTGATAATTATGCATAATAATAAAACCAATATGAGATAATTGTAATGGTGGAGTAGTTTCAAATATATTTTCTATATAATTTTTTTGTTCAATTTTTTGTTTTAATGGCATATTTGATAGAATAAGATCTTGTTTTGATCCTATGATACTTATATCAAATATAGAACGTGAAAAATAATGATCTTTATTGAAACATGGAAACATCATTGATGATCCAAATGGAAAACTAAATGTATATAATAGACGATAATAATTTTTATCATCATTCCATGTTTCATATTGAAATCCTTGTGATAAAATTTTTAATTGAGATTGTTTAAATTGAATATTTGTTGACACTTTAAATAAATAATAACCAATAGGAAATATTTTTGTTTTTGATTTAATACGAATTTTATACTGTTGAATATCAAATTGAATTGATATGACAAGTTTATTTAACTTTTCGCTATTCTCTATTGGAATATTTGGTTTATTTTCATTATTTATCGTTGTAGATAAGAAATATAACATTGGTTTTTGACTAATTGATTGATTAATAGAATCAATTGTAAAATCTTTACGTGATTGAATTAATTGGAAAAAAATTGCTGTATGACAGAGAATAGTGTCATAATTTTGATTATTATTCAATATTGATTCAAATTTTAAATTATAATAATGAGGAATTATATCACTTTGATTGTTTTCTTCAACGATAAGAGTTGCTGATAATGGTCGATACAACATACAGACAAATACTAAACCGCCTAATAAAATACAGCCCAATGAGAGATATTCAGATATTTCTTTTTGTACAGTTTTAAAACTCTACATACTTGATATTGCTAACACAAGACTAATGAGAATGCTAAGTACTTTTATTTGTCTATTGAACATTGTTTTCTCATTATTTTGATCAGACATTGTATCTAGAAATATCTTCAGATGTTCAACTATCGTTTGTTTTGTTTTTCGTTTTGAAATGAAAGTTAGTATTTCTTTAGTTAATTTAGAAGTGCAATATTATTACCATTTTAAATGATGCAAAAAATTCCGTTGAAAAAACAGTAATAAATTTTCAGAAACTGTCATAATAAATGTATTTTTTTATCAGTGTTACAACATATGAAAATGCAGATAATTGACAGAGTTTTTACATATTAAGAAAAGTAATTATTCGTGAAATTTTCTTTATCAGTACGCTAATATCTCTCATACTGAAATCTCACATCAAACAAAATTTTTGATATGATTGAAAGTGTTTGTTATGCAAAATGCTATCTTTTTACATAGATGGAATTCCCCCCTCCCCACCATAATAGAAGTCCCCCCCGTATTAGAAGCCTCGTCTGGAGGAATCGATGTGAAAGGTGTATTAGAAGCCCAAGGGCTTCTATTACGTCCGGAAAATAATTTGAATTTTTTAAGCGGCACATTCGATCAATGCTGAACAGGCCTGGGCGAAACAGTTCATTAATCTCATTCAGGAACAAACGATCGATGATCGGAACGAACATCGAAATTTATTGTTGAAAACGAATAAAATTTACATTTTTTATCTCGAAAAAGATCTTTTTTAGATTAATTGAGATTACCGTGATTAGAAAGGCAAGAGCATCGAAATTTAAAATCTCCGTTTTTTTCTGGAAATTTTTGTACGAAAGTCGTAATAGTAGCTCTCCCATAATACAAGCTCCCCCCTAAAAATTTTGAACGCTTGGACAGTTTAGAAGTCCCGGAGGCTTCTATTATGGGGAGGGGAAGGCTTACTATCAGATTACATAGATTTTTACTTTGACTGGCTTGCGTGTAGACATCAAACGCCTTTTCAAAGGCAGAGAGAAACCAGACTTGAGAAAAACATTGTTCTACTTTTAATTTGGATAGAAAGTTCTTGATCATAAATGAAAAGATTGGCACGTACTTTGGTAAGAAAAATGAGTTTTTCTTCACAGCTACTTTTAAACTTTTGCATATAATCGAAGTGAATTTATGAAAAAGTTAGAAATAGGATATAAAACTGCCAAATTTGGAGTGCCTTTGAGATACATGCTTATGAATTCGTGCCTAATTCACTGCATATATGTGCATCAGATGAAAAACCACCAAAAAATCTGTAGAAGTTGTCAAGAACTGGTCTTTAAGAGTTTTTTGAGTTTCTTATTCCATTAAAAATACTGTTTACGTTAACTATTGTTCGATTTGATTTTATCCGGATCTTTGTAAACGTTACATTGATGTTTATAATTTGGAACTTGTTGAAACGTTAATACTAATTCTTTCAACATATTTTACACAACGTCTGGTTTAAAATTAGAAATCTGATCGGCTGCTGCTGCTCTTTCAAATATTTCAAAACTTTGCTTGACAAATATTCATCTTCTTCGAGAATATTTCTAGTCTTGAAATTTTATAAAAGATTGACTAGTACAGTACTCTGCAAAAGTAGCGGGCTCCCTGTAACTCAGGAACCATGATAGCTAGGGACTTCTACTTTTGTGTGGTCATAGCTCTTAACGAATACTCAGCACCCACCAAATTCGGGCCTCTTTTATTAGCTGGTTCGTGCGATAGAAGCGTTTTACCTCTTTTTCGTAAAATGCTAATAACTCCTGATCCAAGAGATATGAAAACTTTTTCGTTTTATCAAAATGTAGTCCTGATTCTCCTCTATCTACGATATGAATTTAGAGTGGTAGCTGTTAATGGTTACTGAAAGACAGCTATTTTACGATCGAGGTGTCTGGAAATGAGGTTCTGAGATGTGAGGTCCTTTCCAAGAAAACTTTATAACTCGTTCTAGGAACATCAATTCGACTTCAAACTCACAGCAAATACTCTTCGACGACTGTAGACTATCCAGTCAAAGTATGAAGATTAACTATTGTGTGGTTATGGAAATTCATTGAGAACGAGGACTCACGATTGAAACATACGTAGTAGAGCGAGAGTGCGGAACTAAGGGTCGCTCTTTCTACTATGAAATCTGCATTCAATGCGCATCATAGTTATGAAAATATAATCATAGAAACATATGATTCCGAAAAGCGTAGGTGAAACTTTTGTCAGAAAGATTACACACTCACCTCTGACCTTTGCCATTTCATTTATTTTGTGTCGTTTTCACTTCCTTTCTGTTTTCAAGCAAAACTAATGACGTATTTGAGATCAGAAAAACAAAGTTGAGTCGACTGGCATACTTAACACTTGATTTTTGAAAAAAAAATTTTCACTGGAAATTTTCTCTCTAATGGTGAGTGTATAATCTTTCTGACAAAAGTTTCACCTACGTTTTTCGGAATCATAGGTTTCTATGATTAATTTTTCATAATTTTGATGCGCATTGAATGCAGATTCCATAGCAAAAAGAGCGACCTTTAGGTCCTTACTCTCGCTCCATCACGTATGTTTCAATCGTGAGTGCTCGTTCTCAATGAATTTTCATAAACTACACAATAGTTAACCTTCATACTTTGACTGGATAGTTCGCTTCTGTGAAGCAAAAAGTGTGAAAACTTCCGTGACCTTTACTAAGGGCAGCAAGCCTTGTAGCAAAAACATTGGCGTGACTATATTTTTACAGCCTTATCTACTAACATTCTTGCCTATTCTTAACAAGAAATAAAGACTATGTAAACCCCATCTGCACGTGCTTAAGACTGTGTAAACGCCATCTTAAGACTATGTAAACCCCACATTTCAGTTATGTAAATCTCAATATTTTCTGAGGCCCATTTCTTCCTAGGAATCTCTCTATAAAAATAAACTTCAAACTTTCATCTTCTTCGGAGAACGGACGTGTCCTTGGAAGTTGTCACAAAAAAAAATTTATTCTGTCTGATGTCATTATGACGTGACATCTTTTTTATATTGTTGGATAAACGGATATTTAACATATCAAGATTATAATTATTTTTAAAATTGTTAAATCATACACATATGATAGGTTTTTACTTTTAAACATGTATCGAATATATTCTGAAAATGTTATTTTTTTTTTCAAAAGTTATTTTAAATTAGGAGGAAAAATAGAACAATAATCCATGATACAAATTGATATTTACCTTTGTTGATCTGGAGATAACACTCTCTCGAAAACAACAATACAATTTGGCTTTATGAAATAAAACTGAAAGTCGATGAAATAAACTGCGTTTTTTTTTAATCTTCAAACATGACATTCTTGAAACGTGTTTTGATAAACAAAAAGAATGTTTTCATCCTGAATTTTCTCTCTTGAAAAGTTAAAATTGTCTGATTTCCACTTTATTCTAGAAAAAATGTTTAGTTCAATACCTAGCATTTGATATTCATGTCATCTTATCGTAATTTCTATTGAATATTGTTCATTTATTCTATTATCATTATCGACATCAGATTGAGAAAAATTTTTATCATAATAAAAAATTGCTTATTTTCTTCAACAATTATCAATGAGTCAAAGTTTATGCGATCTTATTGTAGAAGTAAAATAGTTATTCTATTTATTAAAAACTTTTTCTGTATTTCTCAATTTTGAATATCTATGAAACATCCTCCCTCAACTTTGTCAATATTGAATAATCATTTAAGCCTTCTATTGCAATAGAAAAAGGAAACTTCTTATTATTTTAGTTATTGTTTTTTTATTAATCTGTTTCTTATTAATTATAATGTTTGTGTGGTGTTGAAAAGTCATACATGTCTCTGAAACAACAATGGAAGAATAATAAAATAATTCTAAAATTAGAATATGTAATCTTCCTACCTAACCATTATTAAACTATGATACGTGTCATCGATGAGTATTGATATATATCTATCTATGTATATGATAGTACGTTATCTCTCATAAGAAATGCGAAGGTGTTAAACTAAAAGTACATAAACGACTACGCATTTTAGAAAAGAAAAATAACAATCAGTAGAATAGGAAAGATAGAACTTTTTAAATAAAAAGCGATGTTTTAGGCTTTAATCTGTACTTGCATTTTTAAATATTAAAAAAAACATTTGTTATTATTATTATTATTACAACATAAAACATAACAGAGAGAATTAAATATGATGTTAAAACAAAAATCAGTTATCTTTCTTTTAGTATTATCAGTTATCAATATTGTTCTATCACAACAGAGTAAGTGAACAATTTTTTATCTTTTAATTTTTAAAACATTTTTCAAGAAATAATGATGAAAATAAAAGAATAATCATTTTAATAATAAAATGATAATGTTTAAATATTTTATACTTTTTAGAGAAATGCGAAGATTTTTCACCTGATACCGATTGTACAAAATTTATTCGTTGTTTTCATAATTTACGAGTAAAATTCACATGTGCCGATGGAACAGCATGGGAAAAAGATTTGAAAACATGTGTACATAAAGAATGGGTTGAATCTTGTAATACAAAAGCTAAAATTGGTAAATATTATAGATCCATTGTGCTCTTGATGAGTGTTCTTCATTGTTAATGATGTCTGCTTTTAGCAAATGAAGTTGATTATACCGAAGATAATAGTGATCTTTTAACTATTGAAGCTGATGAAGATGCACTATCAAATTTTACATTAAGTCGATCATTATCAGATGCAAGAGCGTCTGGACCCATAGTAACACCAAAACAATTTGGTTGTCCAACGTATTGTTCGAACGGTGGTTCGTGTACAGTGGTAGTAAATACTGTTCAATGCACCTGCCCATCGACCGTTCAATGTCAACCAACAAGTACGTTAAATAACAAAGTGAAAAATCATTTCAGAAAAGAAAATGAGATTTACATCAATTATTAACATTTTTCTCGTATATTTTTGCAGCTACAACTAATATGTGCTCTCCTAATCCATGTTTAAATGGAGGTGTATGCATAAATGTCAATCCCGGATTTCGATGTCAATGTCCAACTTCTTTTACCGGCAATCGTTGTGAAGCACCAGGTACAATTTTAGGATAGTTTGAGATATGGCAAAATCCTTTTTCTCTTCCAAATTTATTTCAATAGGGAGCTTGAAAAACTATTTTGTCTTCTAGTGGCATCACCTTGTGTGCCAAATCCCTGTCTCTACGGGGGTTTATGTACCGCATCAGGAACCTCATTTACTTGCCAATGTCCGCCAATGTACACAGGTACTATATGTGACTCTTTAGTTGTTACACAACCACCAGCGTGCTCCAGAAATCCGTGTCTGAATGGTGGCGCATGTCAAAACTCTGGTACGACGTTTATTTGTCGATGTCCAGCAGGTTATACTGGTGTCACATGTCAAGTACGTCCTGATCCCTGTGCCTCACAACCTTGTAGGAATGGTGGCCGATGTTTGACAAATGGAAATGGTATGTTAAATAAGATAAAATTGCATTCGTTAATAAACCGTAACATAGCGAATGAAAATATTTTTCAGTTCAGAGATATTCAATGACTTCCTAGCTTTTTTAAGTATAAATGGTCAAAGTTTGTAGCAATAAATGTAGTATATTCTATAAAATTAAGAAGTAATTTCACATCGACATATGTTGGAGGAAATACACGTATAAAAGAAGACAGTCATCATCATTTTAGGCTTTTTATGTCAATGTCCATCGGGTTATTATGGAGTCTGCTGTGAGTTTCGTAGTTTTTGTCAACCGAATCCGTGTAACAATGGCGGAGTTTGTACTCAAACAAGCACAGGTTATGTGTGCGCTTGTCAAACACCGTTCACGGGCAGTAATTGTCAAACGGGTAAGTGTTTAATTAATTTTCTTAGCACACAAGGTTGATGTATAACTGTACGTATGTATCACATGTTTCACTAGTATTGACAACAACTACTGTGCAGCCCAGACCCACATGTGTATCAACTTGTCCATCTACTGTTGTTGTCTACAATCCTTGTTTGCCAAATCCATGCCAGAATCAAGGTGGATGTGCTGTACAATCAAATGCTGTTCACTGTTGGTGTCCCGATGCTTATTATGGTTTTTACTGTCAATATGGTATGTATTTGCACTTCTTTGAATTTATTATGATAACAATGGCTCTATTCTTTTCTATTAGCTCGTAGTAGATTATTAAAAAGTTCTGGACAGTGTGACATCAAATGCTTGAACGGAGGAAAATGTTATATTGACGAAAAGAAAGGACCAGCTTGTAGCTGCTCTAAAGAATTCTATGGGGAAAAATGTGAATTCGGTAAATAGTTTTGTACATCAGCTTTGATACTAATAAATTACAATAATAACGGTAAATTATTTAGAAAATCGGCCGAAATCATGCACACCAAACCGATGTATGAATAATGGAAAATGCATTTCAACAAAAGGCGGTTACAAATGTGTATGTGGAAAAGGATCAAGAGGAGTTTTATGTGAACAAAGTAGGGCTCAGAATGCTTTATCACATTTGTTACAATATTAGCTTTTTTTCTATTCTAGTCGAGAGATCGGCCAACTACAAATATTGTCCATTAGATTGTCAAAATGGTGGTACATGTGTTTACATTGGAACAACACCATCATGTCGATGTCCAACAGGAAGAAAAGGTCGTCTATGTCAAACACGTACGGTTTTTGCTAAAAATATTATACACTAGATTTTAAGGTACAATAATTTAACTATTGTAGGTACATCAGCAAAAATTACAGCACTCGAGTCAGATATGGAAGATGTTGCGGATGTGCCAATAGAATCTGACTCTCAGACAGAGGATTTAACCATATAAAACAAAACAAAACAATCACATCGAATCGAAACAACCAGTACAACTTTATGCGTGCTTAAAATATAATATATCAATAGACTATTATTCGATATCAATCTAGAGAGATTTGTGTTGTTGAATAAAACAGTTTGAATCCGGTATCAGCATACAAACAATCTCGTATATTACATTTACGAGGGGATAATGGCGGCTTGTTTTTTTCTTAACATGTTTCGTTTATACTTTTATTCTCGAATACTCTCTAACTATGTATAAAATAGAGTGCATATATTTTGCTTATTTTTCTAATATGTTGCGAGTCATTGATCAAATTGAGAGTTATCTGAGGTAGCTCTCCTAAACGTCGTTGTATTATTCTTATGTGTATATCTTTTTCAAGTAAACGGATATTTTTTCTCTATTTATAAGTTAATATTTATAAGAATTAATGAGAGTGGAAAGCTGATGTTATCAAAACTTTACCATCTCTCTTCTAGTCGATGAATTGAAATCGATGAGCTTACGCCCAATTTTTGTTTGCTCCATTCATGATAAGAATTCCAGTTTCAATGGATCATGTTGAATAAGATGAGAGAAAACGTTGTTGTTTCGTTCTAGAAAGTAATTTGAAGAATAAAAGCGAAATAATACTGACGTTTTTCTACGGAGTAAAATTTTTTTTGAAAGGCAACATTATAGTAGCTATAGTTACTATAACTCAGGTTCATTGGGTCAATGAACCTGAGTTACAATGTTGAGGTTTATTTTGCTTGATATAAAGTGAACTAATAATCTAGAAAACAAAGTTGTTAATAATTACTTACATGCACTTAACATTAAACTAACATATTAGTAGTTCATCTGTCAAGTGCTACAACGACCGTTTCGGGATATCGAAACTTTGGAATGGTCTTTGAAGTTGTAGTGTCTCAGCAACAGGTTCTTAGACTATGTTGCTACTGCTTACGTCTTTCGAGTTTGAAGGCAATTTTGTGCACTGACGTCATGACAGTTTGTTATTATTTTTGCTTTATTTCGATGCACGTTTTTTGTGATTCAGGTAATCCTGAATACCCGACTCAGGAGAATTCTTTGTTTTCTTTATTTCTATATAAGTTTGTCTTATACAGTACATGTTAAAATTAGTTTGTAGTAGCAGCGTGGTCTAGAACCTGATGCTGGGACACTACAACTTCAAAGACCGTTCCAAGTTTCGATATCCCGAAACGGTCGTTGTACCACTTGACTGATAAACTGCTAATATGTTAGTTTAATGTTAAATGCATGTAAGCAATTACTAGCAACTTTGGTTTCTAGTTTATTCACCAGTTAGGATTCTGGTTAAGTAATCTTAATTTCTATGGAATAATAATCATCCCCCAATATCGAGTATACATTAGGCATGTGACAGTTCATAGTTCCTTGCGCTGCAGTTTCTCGATAACGGGAACTGTTTTTCAGTTTCCGTTTGTGAACTACTATCAGCGCCAGAAGTCAAGGCAGGTGGATGTTTTTTGAATAACTTTTGATAGGAATGAGATAGAGATCTGCGGTTTTCGCTGTTCAAAAAAATCCCTCTGGCGAAGTTATTTTCATTTCTACACAAAAATAAATGTTGCTACTATGCTCAGCGTAGACGATTACCTATATTCCATGGCATTTCGAGATTCCCAGAGATGTCTGCTCGGAGATAGACACGTGCTCGGGGAAAGCGAGCTCTATCTGAACGACGATAACTCGAGAGAGCTGGGACTTGCATAATTTTGTAAAGTAACCTCCAGACTACCTGCGAACAGCACATACGAAAACCTATAAAAGAGTGCTTAGAGACTTTCGTATCACTTTTCCAGCACATGCCTACTTGCCAAGTCAAACTTGCTGTGTCGATACGCTGAAACCGCCGCATTACACTGGATCGAGACATTTTTTGTTCGGCAATACTTCAAACACACATCATTCGATACAATTTTTGACACTGATTCCGAATATGTAATTATTTTTCAAATAAAAATGCGTCTAGCCTGAGAAAAATGGATTTTTCCTCAAAAAACCTGTAACTCAGGCCAGGACCATTTATGCATCTTTATGCCAGCTGTAAAGATGCATCACAACATCTTGGAAGGATCTTAGAAGGATATTCTGTGAAAGTTTTATCGGATTTGGAGTTGTGGAAAAGTGTGAAAATTCACTATACTGAACACGGCTTTTGGGAAAACTTTTAGTGTAGAAAGAACAATTATTTTGTTCGATGCGAAAGTGTAAAAACAAAACTTTTTTAAAAAAAATCGGTAGACCAGACGACCTACTTTCAGAATATGTATGATTTATCCATAAACACTTTGCACAATTCATAAAAAATATTATTCTTCCGTACATCCTTCGTTTTTCGACCTTGTTTTCGTGCTACGTTGCCCCACTTTAATACAAAAGCCGGAACAAAAATTGTTATTATTTTTTATTAAATAGGCCATGAGTCAAAGTATATAAGGCACTACTCAAAACTCCAAAAAGCTCACTATCATTTTTTTACCTAATGTTCACGTGGTTGCCCACTGTGGGTATAAGTAAGGAGACGTTTCCTGACAATATTCTCTTTGATATAACTTACCTTTGAGAGAAATACGATACTTACTAGTGGAGCAGTTGGTGTTGGTGCGATTGCAGTCAAATTTGGCGCTGCTTATTTTGCGAATAGATATTTAAATGGGCAAGTATAAAGGCAATAATTAATCGATTGATAATATAAGTACATATTTTTATTCAAGAATCGTAATTACCACCACCATTCTTCTCCATGAAGAATAGCGTCACATCTATCTGGTCCCTATATGAGCATATATATGTCAACACACACAGCCGATATGCTATTGCTAATGAGAAGAAATGGTCTATCGACTAATGCTTCCGGTTACTTACACTCGTAATGCAAGCCTATAATTCAACTTAATAAAGAAAATTACCAATCAAAGAACTAAGATACAACCGACATTAATATATATATATTTTCTTTTTTTAAAAATGTTGACCTATTAAAATATATTGAAGATATGAAAATCCTTGAAAAAACGATTTAGTATCAGTTTTCTTCGAAAAATAGTACGGAAATTGTAAATAACTGACGTAAAATGATTATTGAGTGAGAATTGATTAAAAAATATATTGTAAACCTTGAACTTGCTATCATATCCTGATCATTGACATTATTCTACAAGTTCAATTAAATTGAAAAAGAAAAATCAAAAGTGATGAAATTTGTATATTTCTTGCAGTATAATCTATTGATGTATACAGACAGACTAAGTGAGTGTTGATACCAACAGAATGGTTCTAATGAGCTGAATGAGAGAATGTGTATTTATTCGTTCTTTTCTACTACTGAATATATCTCAGTCTTTAGAGTCATTAATATAACAGAGAAATATACAGTTTAACAGAAAATAAATGAAAGAAAGAAAGGAAGGAAGCGTAAATCTTCTCACTATCTTGGAATCGATACATATATCGACTAACAACAATGGAAACGTTAGAAGAAAAATAAATGAATATCTTCTGTTTTCTAATAAGACCTTCATCTCTCGTCTCTTTTCAAACAGTTATTGATCATCATCCATATCTCATTCTTGTTAACTATGATAAATATCTATATAGATGAAAATTTTTCTAACTATATATCACATTACTTTCTCTCTTGCGCGCGCTAGCGCTCGAACATCTCTTACATCAACTAAAAATCTAAAGATTAGTTACTCTTACTAGACGATAGAGAGATGAAGAAAAGGAATGTGGAACTAGAATAAAGAGACTGTTATGACTGAAATATGTAATGATGAGCAAACTGAAGAGATACAAATATATTCAAGATCGTTAACTACTATTTAGATTTATTAATAGTAAAACTATAGAAATAGTCGTTTTTAATTTTTATTACTGAAAGAAAATTAAAACTTATTATTAAATCATTTCACTTTTCTACACATTCAATTGTTCTAATCATGGTTTTCTCAGTCTTTTATCTAGGAAATTGATGAGTTTATCATAATTTCATATTTGTAGAAAAACTATTAGATTTCTACACACTCGATATGATTGTCAGCACAAAATGTACGATTGCACTGTATGTTTTAGTTCTGTTCATGACAGAAATCAATTTTTATATGAATTTTTCACTTATTTCTTTGACCAATCTATTTTTTTAATCGATATCTCACTATTCTGACAAGTTCATAATTAATAGAGAAAAAAAACAACAAAGGTACACAGTAACTACGCCGACTTTTTTTTTGTAAAAATCCAAT